GATTCGTGTTAAGATTGCGGTTAAGAATTAACCAGGGTTGGTGCGGTAGCTAAGATGCGGCAACTAGACTCCTGCCTCAAGCCAGCTTTCTCCACCATGGAGCCCTTGAGGTGTGTCAGGACTAGAGCGCTCAGAATTCAGCGTTGATTTGACATTGTCAAATGTAGGATGCTTGTGTTGCCTGATAACCTTGAAATGACTTGGTTGAGTAGACGGTCTACAGATCACCTTCTCTGAGATCTGCAAAAGCAGGTTCCCCGTTTGCCCCGTTTCATGGGTGGGTGGGTGGGGGGAACCTCCTGTTGTTTCTTCCCACAAGCGCTCTTTGCTGTGTCAGAGCTGTGAACCATGGGTTCTCCTGGTATCCACTGCAGGAGGAAGCCCTCTTCTCGCTCGTGACTGCTTCTCACTTAACGCGCCCCAGACGAAGCACAATTGGACAAGTTTAAAAGTACAGGGTATTTCGGTTGTCGAACCAGATGTCCATCTGGAGCCTGACTCACTTCCTAAAATTAGCCCTGTCATTTGCATTTGGAATGAGACAAAATGTTCTCGCTGGAATTCTCAGTTGATGGAGCAAAAGCGCATTGTGTTAGTTTGGAGTGTGTGTGTGTGTGTGTGTAAGAAAGACAAATGGTGGAGCTTCTGATGAGAGCTGGTTTCTGCTGCTGATCCTTGCTTTTGAGTAAAAAAAACCATGTCCCTCATGAAACAACCATTTTAACAAGAAATGCTTAATGTCCCCCATGCTTCAAACAGGAGTCAAAATGAATGGTTCAAACTTCTAAAAATACTATTTGGCATTCAGGCATAGAAATGGGTTTCTTTCTCGGCGGTTTTTAAGATTTTAATTTATCCCTGTGTCAGGGGGATAGCCAAAAGAAATGGGCCTCTGCTCTGAATGTTTTTTTTTTTAACATGCTGCAGTGTATAATGTGAAAAGTTTCAGGGCAGCAAATACATTTGTTTATTTATAAATTTTATATGGCCATCCATTCACTCTCAATGACTCTGGGCGGCTTACAAATTTAATAAATGCAGAAAAATAAAAATAAAAGTCTCAGTCTTGGACCTAGAGGAAAAATCCCAACAGCCCAAAGGACCGATGAACCAACTGCATACTGTTCCCCCTAAGCCTGGCTTGGCTTCACATATTGGGTGAACCCATTCAGGATTCTGAAACTAGTTTATGCTTGTGTGACCCCAAGCAAATTGTTTTTTCTTCTGTTGAACAGTTGCAATCATCAAACTGTGCCTTTGTGTAATGCACAAACCAGTGTCATTTAACACCCACACATACTGTGTTGTCCTCCAGGATTTGAAAATGCCATCTTAGGGAGAAGTACCTGGGCAGTGCCTTGAATTAAATTATTCTTGTGAATGGAGTATTAAATTAGACACTCCCTTGTATTGGCTACAGCGTAATTTTCACTAAGAGCTGTCTTTGGGGATTCACCTCTAAATGATTTGGGCATCTCTGCTTGGGACTGATTATCCCCACTTTGCAGTAAATGAAAATGGGGTCCCTTTTTTCCCTGAGCAATTTCTAGCCCCCCCCCCCCCCCCAAAAAAAAAAAAAAAAGCAGGTAAAAATTATTTGAGGAAATAGTGCAATTGATCTGATGCCTCTTCTCAGGCCTTTTTGATAGATGTGAAAGAGACAATCAGCAGTACAGCCTTTAGGGGAAGCTAAGGAGATAGAAGATAGAAATAAGATAGAAATCAGAAACGTTGACTTACTCCTTATTCACTCCTAGGGGGACTTCTACATGTGTCACTGGGCAAATACTCTCTATTAATCAAAATGCAACTTTTGGAGCAAATATCTCTTATTTGAAGACAAGGGCCCTGTCTTGAGACTTAGGAGATGAAAGGAAAACCAGACAGGCAAAAGGTGTGTTATTTACACATCGATTGGGTGAGGTTAATTTCTGTAGTGCTGATGCTCCTTCCCTAATTTTGTGGCCTCCAGATGCCTTGCAATGCAAATTTCTAGCTGATGTGGCCAAAGGAGAAAACAAAGTCTTGGTTCTTGAAGTTTGGGTGCAATTTACATATCCTTCCATTGAATGAGTTTTTTTGTTTTTTGTTTGCAAGCTCAGCCTTCCCTCATTGGGATCTTGCTCAGGTGCCCCAGGCAGTGTCAGTGTGGCCCAGCACAAGGCATGCTGGTGGTGTCCCCTATGGTTTCTTTCCTCTTCCTTCCCTGTTTCTTTCCCTCTTTCCCTTCCAACCTAAGATAATGAAAGAAGCCTAGTGAGAATCTTATAATCTCACAATAGAGATTAATTCCATTAATCTCAGCAAACTTTGATAGGATCTAAGCTGTTGCTGTGGACAGAGTTGGTTAGTTAGGGTTGGTAAACTAACTCTGATTGTCCACAGCAGCAGCATAGTCTGGCATAGTCCTGGCATAGTCCAGGTAGACCCACTGAGATTAATTAAATTAATTTCTATTATGTGCTATTTTATTCACCTTTGTTTTGCTGCTTGTGTTGTGTAGGATGGAAGGCTGAGTATGGCTCAGTGACTTTCAAAGCAAACTTCAAAGAAGAGACTAAATCCACTTGTTTATTTTTTTATTTTTAATAAAAAATTAGCTATGGGATTTGTATTTATTTATAGTTCAGATTTTTACAGCTGTACCAGTACTTATTTTGTTGTGGAATGTAAAAATCTTAGCAAGCAGGACGCAGAGCTCTATTTATAGAAGGTGCTTGCAACCTGCGTGCTAAATTTATCCAGAGAATGGAACCATGATGACTTGGGGCTGTAAACCACAAACTAGCTAGTTCGTTTTTCCTTTCTTGTATTATATGAACGCAGATGGTTGGCTTAATTGAATAATTGAGCTATGAGTATGTGGGTCTTGTGGATGGGAAAGCAATTTTGGAGCCAAGTTGGCTTTGAACGGTTGATACCTTGGTACTTCTAAGGTGAGTATGTTACTCAGTTCAGACACCTTCAAACATCCTTCCGTTACATGGATAGTTAAAGGATTTTTATACTTGGGCTGCAAAACTCAAACAGTCACTAAGTGGCAGCAAAGAGCTACACCTAACTCTTTTCCGCCACCTAGGGTTTGTTTCAAGCAATGCAGTCCAAATAAGGCTAGAAGGCACCCAGTTAGGAAAAAGTTTATTCCTGCCTTGAGCAGAGAGTTAGAGTCGCTTGACTAAAATGTGCCATTCCGTTGCTGAAAGCCCAGCTGCTGATGGTTAATTAGGCTTAAAAATTGTCCAACTTTTTAAGTGAAGGGAGGCAAAACCCACTAAATGAATACATTTGACTAGAGGCAGCTATTAATCAACATATGAACATGGGCAGAGATTTGCTACTTGGGTGAACAGGAACATATAGGCTTTGTTTAAATTAGAGGTTGCTTTACAGAGTGAAGAGAAAAATACTTCTCTTGGACAAATCACATTTCTTTGGTCTTTTCTCAGGAGTCATAACAACCGAGGAGCTCCTGAGCGAACCAAGACTGGGGGTGGCTTTATAAATTTAATTAGAGAACACAAGGACAAAGCAAAAAACCATCAAATCTTAACTGTGAGCCAAGAGACAGTCTAGTAAACTAGCTGGCTTCCCCAATGTTAAGCACGATAGATACACCACTGCGTTTACACACTCAGCCATGATTTTTTTAAACTCTCATTTGTTAAAGAAGCCATGATGTCAGGCTTAAACCCCTCGTATGGCTGCAAATCGCACCAAGCCACATTGTGGTTTCAGCTAATCAGCGTCTGTACAGTAATACAGGATTATCTGTACATTTGGAGCTCAGGTGTCTTATTTGAAGCTGGTAGCTGACATTGAGAGCAGAGGAGGGGACTTGGGAGGGGTGGAAGGGTAAATTTGAAAGCCTTTTTTTTGGGGGGGGAGGGCAGTCTCTTTGATGCCAGGAACAGTAGGCCAAGCGCTTGTAAGAACTGCGTGCACTTCATTTATAGGCAAGAAGAGTTGAAAATTGCTTTCCTGTGTATACAACCGGCCCTGAGGCCTGGCTGTGCTTTATCCTTGCCATTGGAAATGGCCTCCTAATTTGTGTTGAAAGCTCGCCAGCGAGCGACACTCTTTGGTTAGTGTTTACGCAACCAATTGCTTTTTTGAGTCCCGCTGAGCTTCATTAATGCCATTCCAAAGAGCCGGCCTCCTTGTGGGGAGCAGTCAGTGCCTTAGGAAATGACAAAGCCGGCCATAAACAAAGGAAGAACGCGCTCCTCCTTTACGCTCGCCTGCCCAATGACTTCACCGATTTGCCGGCTGATTCTCCTAACACCGATTTGCCGGCTGATGCTCCTAACAGTTCCTTTTTGATTCCGTCCCTTTTCCTGTCATTCTGAATAGAGGCAAGCAAGGGAATGAAATGAACGAAAAGCTGTTTGGAAGCTGAACAAACGAGAGAATACATCGGCCCTGGTGCTGCAGCTGAACCTTTGAGGCTACGGGTTTGCGCTGTTCTTCGACCAAACCTGGCTAATTTTTTTTACCTCTGGCCCGGTTGCTTCATCTCATCGAGCCCGACTTTCCTCCTTAAAAATACTTTTAATCATGTTTGCCACTCGGTCTTTGTAGGATGGCACTGTCTTTGCTTTCAACTGCATACAGCCTGTACGCTTGACTTGCTTTCTAAAATTGTCTTCCTTTAAAAGGCCTTTTCAACATCCCTCACTGTTTGCCGAGTTTGCAGTTGACGTCTCTTTCCCCCTCCTGAAATCGCTCTGGTTAAAAAGATTAGCCAAGGTCCTAGGAGGAACTAACCGAGATCTTGACTTTCGGTCCTTTTTATTTTATCTTGTTGCAACCTTAAGTAGTATCTGACAGTCGTTCTCAAAGTCCCCCTTAATGTAAGGTTAAAATGTGAGTAGATGCCGTTGGGATGATACAACAGCAACCCGGAAGTTGTAGAATTTGGGCCCATGAATTGTCAAATTTTGCCTCTGCATCCCAACTAACGGAGCTTCCCCCCCCCCCCCCTTCCCCTTTCTCTTTTTCAGCAAACGTGGTTTCAGCGTCCGATCGTTTGGTACCGGGACTCACGTCAAGCTGCCAGGACCTGCCCCAGACAAGCCCAACGTTTACGATTTCAAAACAACATACGATCAGATGTACAGTGACCTGCTTAGGAAAGACAAAGAACTGTATCCCTGCGGAAGGGCCTTTCAAAACCCCGCTCTCTGCTCTTTTCCGAGGTGTCTTTGTGCTCCTTTGCATAAGGAACAACTGGCTACTTGACTCTGGCTAAGTCTTGGTGTTTCCAGGCCTCAACAGCAGGTGCTTCACACTGTAGAAAGGGCTCCTAGCCACACCCCTTAACGGCCCCTTAGCGGTTGTGCGACAGGTTGGTTAGAGCAAGGGGACACCGGCATCTCTCTTGGGGTGCAATTGCCTTTCTGTGCCGGCGACACTAGGAGGAGCCCCTCGGTTTCTGGAAGTGGAGGGCGTATCAGTTGTAGTAATACATTGGGAGACACAGCCTTGGTTAAGAACATCCTTCCTTCCACAGTCCCATATGTTCCACAGTCCCATATCTTCCACAGTTAAGATTTGGGCTCATGGTTAGTGCAGCTCCCCATTCGCCTACCTCTGGCCAATTGTCCTTTCTTCTGCCCTGGGGAGTATTTCCATCAAGTCGCCAAGGGTGAGGCTGTAGCTTCCTGGTTTCCCCACCTAAAATCCTGGGCTCCCATTTCAGTTTCTCCATATAGGGCTGGGGTAGATTTTTGCCCGATCTCCAGGTGAGCTCTTCTGTCTCTTGAGCCTACTGGGACTCAAAATGTTCTTCACCCTCTCTCCTCTAATCCTCTTCTAGTGAATGACTTTGCTGTAGAGTAGAGACAGGATAACTGCCCTCCAGTTTCTTTCTCTCTCCACACACCCCCTCTCCACCTCTCGGGTCCTTCAAAAGAACCTGGAGAGAGGTGGAATTCCCATTTGATGCAGGGCACTGGGGAAGGCCCCTTCCCTGAGCCAAGAGATGAATTGAGACAGTAGTTCCCCTGAGATAAGTCTTGCTGGATTCAGGGCTGGGATTTACCTTGGAGCTTGACCTGGGGCAAAGCTTGTGCTTTGCTGCAGGCTCTCCTAGGATGCCAAATCTTTCAGTCAAGGAAGCAGGTGATCTGGAAGGAAGATCTTGGGTCCATCCTTCTGGAACAGCTGGAGTGTGGTTGCCCTTCTTCAGCTCTTGCCCCTCAGTGCGGACATCTTGCATCCTAGTATCCAGCTTGGCCTTCTTTCGAGAGTCTTTTAGGGTTGAAAGCCCAGTTGGGGGAAACCAGTAACAGGAGTTTACAAGTCCTTCTTGAGCTTTTCTCCAGAATCTGAACAGATAACACTCCCCCCCCCCCCCCCCCCCAAAAAAAAAAAAAAAAAAAAGCATTTGGAACCATTTAGATGGGGTGCTTGGTTTGAAGAAGGGCTTCTCAGTCTCTTCTGCTCAAGCCATGCTTTCATATTCTTTGGAAACAGGCCCCCGGGGTTGAGAGTTCTGAACGTCCTAGATACTTCATCCACGGCTGTTCTGTAGCTCAGATCCTTACAATCTTTGAAATATATCATTGGCCGAGGGCAGAAGAAAGTTTCCATAGGACAAAGGCTGCCTGCCTTCTTTTTTTAAGGCAGTGGTCCCCAACCTTTGTGGCTTGGTGGGCTGGCTGGAGTGGTGGGCCGGCACACTTGCGCAGCTCCACTCGCACAAGGTGGTCTCGGCTCCTTCAGGCTTCTCCACGCCCAAAGCTTTTGCAAAGGGACGGAAGGCCTGAAGCAGCGTGGGATCGCTCCGCCCGAAGCCTTTCGTCTATTTGCAAAAGCCTTGGGCGCGAAGGAGGGAAGACTTTGGGGGTACGATCTCGTGCCCCTTCAGACTCACCGAAGCTACCCGATACTCCAAAAACAGATCTGGTGCCATGCGCCTCGGTGAGCCAGCAAAGCTGAGCAGGGCGGGCTTAGCCCACTCATCTTCTGCTCTCATTATTCCACTTACGCAAGGGAGAAGCCTTCGTGCGAGTGAGGCTGCAGGTCCACCACTTCTGCAGCCCGGTTGGGAATAGGCCATGGCCCAATAGTTGGGGCGCAGCCCACAGGTTGGGGAATCCCTGCTGTAGGCCCCGGGCCTGCAGCTCCTTCGGCATTTGGAGCCTACCACTTCATTGGGTGTTAGTCGTGAGGAATGCTCCCAACACAAAGCTTTCGTCTCCCGTCATTCATGTTCTTCAGGCCCCAGCTGGCCCTAGAGGTTGGGCTCGTAGGGCAAACCCCCCAGAAGAGAGGCATTTGGGGTGTGGGATGGCATTTGGGGTGTGAGATTTGCTGGCTGACTGGCTTCACGAGACCTCGGGAGGGAGGCACCAGGAGGCATCTGATCCTTTTGACCCCGGACCAAGCTTGTCTGGTACTTCTCACTGAATTGATAAGCCTGCCCCTTCAGATCATGTACGGGATTAGAGGCTCCTGTGATGGATTCCCAGAGGGATCTTTTTGAACAAAGCTCACAAGGCCATCAGAAAGAGAAATTGCTACCCTGGCTGTTCCAATGCCTGCAAGGGACACACAAATGGAGACGGCCCCCGTGGAAATATGACTCGGATCTTTTTGAAGCCACCAGAGCCAGTGGCCTTCACTATGGCTAGATTCCACCATACTGTGATAACCAATCATAGTTATGGGTTAGTGGGGAATCTGTAATGTTTAGGTACATGAGCCTATGGGGGGTGGGGTGCACCATATCAGATTCAGCTAGTCTCAAAGCATCCACTTACAGGAATTGCAAAGAAGCGGAGAGAGATCCTTCTAGCTTTTCCAGAAACCACCTACTATTTTATTTTTAGGCCAGGTGGGCAACCAAAGCCGATTTTCTTAAGCATGCTTCCAAAGTATCTGCAAGTCCCAGAAGCATTCTTGGAACGGCAGGCTGGGCTTGAGGGTGAAGCTTTCTTTTGCAACGTGCTTGGCTTCCTAATTAATTAAAAGAAAATTAAACCTAAAAGAAATATGAGGGGGGAAAAACCATATGGGACACTGAAAATTGACCATGTTGAGTGAACGCAGCCATCCTGGTTAAGTGGATATAAATCCACCTAAGGGGGATTGAAGTAAGCCATAGCTAAAAGTGACCAATTGCAGACAGTCGCACACACATTTTGGAGGAAGTGCTAAACCTTGTCTCCTCCTGTCTTTATAAGCTATAAATTTCTCTGGACAGCCAGCTGTTTCAAGCAAACTCTGGATGACCAGGCCTTTCAGGCGTCCTGTAACCTTGTGTTTCCTACTGGCATCAAACTTCTTACAATAGGGTAGACATGTACATATCATGCCTCTCTTTGATGTGTTGGTCTCTCCCATCAAATAAGCCACAAGATAATCTAGGAAGATCGGAAATCCTTCATGTCCATGTTTTCCACATTAAATGTGCTTTGGGCAAGATGCCTTCTGTCATACAAACTTTTACCAGTGGCCTGATGTAAGACCCCCCTTGTTGCCTCCAAACTGCAGGCTTAACCTCTCAGTGAGAACTAGCACACAAAAGCATTAGAGGACAAAGGTGGGCCCCATACATCCTGGATATAATGGGGCTATTCCCCCAGGGAAGGGGGCAGCCTTAATAGGATGAGATCCACCATTTCCTCCCTCTCCCCTTTAAAATAGCACGCTAGATCGTTCTGAGGATCTACCGACAGCTGGCACTCTTGTGAAATGATTTGTTTGTATTGAGCACTCAAACACCATTAAAAAAATAATGTCTTTGGGGCCCCCCCTCCCGTCCATTCTCTTGGGGTTGCTTTTTATTTTGGTCTGGGTAGTTCCGCTCTAGAGGAGGCTGTCCGAGCTCCAAGCAGAGGCAGCAATATGGACAAGTCCTAAGGTGTTGCAGAAAACACCTGGAGGGCAGCCACTGCGAAGTCCTGCACTGACGGTCAAATGCTGTGGGAGAGACCCCTTTTTAAGCTGGGGGGGGTAGGGTTTGGGGAGGGGTGGGGAGCTTGGCTGAATCTGAACAGCCACAAAAATCTAAAGGAATGGAGACTGCATCTTGGGCCAACCTGCTTTTAAGATGGAGAACTTTGCCACCAACGGAAGCTGTTGGGTGGTCTTTGGGCCTGCTTCCTTTCTCTGCTTGCCTTCAGACCGACAGTGGCTCGTCCTTCAGACCCTGAAGGCTGAAGCAGCAGACTCTTAATCCATGGAGAGGAAGTGGTACCCCCTCCCCCATGTGTAAAAAAGTGTTGCCCCCTGCTTTGATTCAAGGGGAACCTTCCGGGCCATGGTGGATAATTTATGGTGAGGGTTTGGCTTCTTTCCCTGCTTCCCCTTCCAGTCTGCATGGTCAACCAAGAAATCACCCAGGCTACCCAGACAGGAAGCACCACGGCCAGGACCACCTGAGACAGTAAGGTAAAAAAAGCTGCCTAGAATGGCAAAACGTGTATCTTCCCCCACCCATCAACCCCTGGAAACCACGGACACCAAGCAACCCTTCCATTTCCCTTCTCTAGGAAGGTCCTCTGGGTTGATAAAAGTCATGGATTTTAGAGAAGACTGCTCTGATCATTGGTAGTCCTCAGGAATTAATTTCTCCTTAGAGGACCTTGGGAGGCAAGGTTAGGACAGAGTCCTTTTTAAGTTTGCTGGAGAAGTTGACGCTTCGGTGACTCACCCATAAAGTGAGTTGATTGGGGAGTCTTTAATTCCCCAAAAAGCTCCAAACATGTCACTTTATTTAAAAGAAAAGAGTAATCTGGTAAAATCCAAGAATGAAGTATTGAGAGAGGCAAATATTTTTTAGGGAAGAAATCAAGAGCACCAGGATGAGCCCAAGGGAGGGAAGGGTCAAATGTGTCATCAGTCTTGAGTCCCTGCGCGCCTACAAAAGATCTAAGTCCAGCCCACCTCTTAACTCCCACTAATTTCATTTGAATGTTAGTAGTTCAGATTCTTGTAGCACTGCCTAAATCTGATTTCCCTGTCGTTTGACAAAACTATTCTTTTGATAACCTTTCACACTGTTTCTATGGTGGGATAGCAATCAACAGGGAGGAAAGTTGCAAGGAAGATTATGAGGTAGAGTGAGCCGTTGAGGATTGGAGCCCAGATTTGATCTCTCCTGATCAGTGATTGCAACATAAATTTTAAAAAACGGACC